ATTATCAAACTGAATCAGGATGACATATTTTGTTGTCGTTAAGACCTTTAAAATGTAATATCACTTAACTAAAATATTAAAATCAAGACAGAAAGTTTTGCTGCTAATCATGTAACCTTTAAGATATTACCTCCCATTCCTTAAGCTAGTATCAATTCCCAGAAGATTAGAATATGTAAGCCTCTTAACCAGTAGAACAGAAGAAGGCTTTCTGCACATCTGAATTCGCTGAAACATAAAATCATACTCGTATAAGAATAGCATGAAATTGTTAACAAGACCATGCCAACAATAAGCTGTGATTACACATTATATATTTTATATCGGAAAGTCAGCCAAACACAGTAATGTATCTCACCTCCTTCCACCACATAATGTGAGCATAATCTTTCTCCTCCAGGACATTTTTCAATTGTTTCTGTTTCTTAGTAGTTCTGGTAAAATATTTTCTTTCTTTGACACACAAAATGCGCTGGGACTGCCTAATACTGTTGGAAAGGAACAGTAAATGCTAGAAGTTAGACATTAATTCATTACAACATTTCTAGGAAGGAAATAATTGAAAGCAAAGAACTGCCAAATATCTAATTGAAAGGTGATAAGAACAAAAAGAGGACTCGGTATATACCAAAACTGCATTTTATGTAATAAAAAGTAGGATTTTTCCTATAGCATAGGACATTCCTTGGTGAACTGTAAAACACACTGCTTCCTATGGACAAATTTAATATTAAACTTCTCATCTTCATGTACTATTTTTCAGTTACATTGCAAGAAGCTAAACGATACATAAGATGGGGAACATAGTTTCTAGAAGTTATTGTTACGACTCCAGCCTTCTCCACGAAAGACAACGAATGAGAAGTACAAGAAATATGTCTAGAGCATCACAGATCATAAAGTTTCCATAAATTGGAAAATGTCTCAGGCCCCAAGTAGGTGCGAGTTTCGAACTTTTCTTTTAACTATATGTCCCCATTCATTAATCCGAGCTATATTTTCACATAAAAAAGGTATTGTACATTCTCTTTTAAATGTTCAGTCATGGATAAATTAGTAAATAAATTATTCCATACTATGAGGCCACCAATTTCCATCGACCAATGTTTCACCTCTCCTTCGTGAAAGGATTTGATAGAGTTTAAGTTAATTGAGTAAGCTTCTGAATTGCTTTGAATTAGTGAAACAAACAGATTCATGCTCAAATTTCAGAGACTAAAAGAAATAGAATTTTCCAGTTTTGGTGAGCGAATACAAAAGGTCAAGAAAAAAATATAGAAAAATGATTTCCTCAGTTATTTTCTTTAATCAACATAAACTCAAAACTAAAAATGTCTTTGAGGAACTCGTTCTGCAAATATATAAAAAAATAAAAACCACAAATAGATTTTGTTTCATTGAAAAATCAAATGTTTTAAATACGTAAAGGATTTTAATATAGCCCCTGTTTGTTTCTGATTAAAATCTGATTTTAATCTTTAGTCAAAATCAACAATTAATTTGAACAACACATTTCATGGAATCCACAACTTTTCAACCACACATTTCATCAATTTTTATCAAAATCTATTAAAGGTCTGATTTTAGGGCCTGTTTGGTACGGCTCAAAATTCAATTAAAATTGAAAATATAGCCGTTATTGGGTCCCACTCATCTAATAAAGCTCAACAATAACGGCTAATTTTTCAATTTTAATCCGATTTTAATCTCTGCCAAACATGCTCTA